CTGAGGTTTCCAAGGGGCATATATATATATATATGTGTGTGTGTGTGTATGTGGAGGGGGGTGTATGTAGTGCATAGATACGTGGGTGTGTGTATAGCAGTATAACATGAACGTATTTTATCAACTCATTTGATTTTCAAGTATATGCAATCGGTTTGTATTAACTGTGCAGCTGAAAGTGGCAAAGCTAATGCTGAAACGTGATGCTGGACATCCTGCATGGAGCCTTCCCTGCAATAAAAACTAAGGGGCTGCTAAGCTAAAGACTTGGGTGGCCCGGTGATAAACAGTCACAGTCTCTAGTGTGTGATTTGCAGTATCAATACTGGGAAGTGCTGTACTAATTCTCTTGTTTCTCCTTACGTGTGTGCGTACTTCAGTTGCAACGTAATTTTGCCACAGGTATGTTTTGAATTCTTCCAGCTAGAGAGCAGTGCTTTGTGCTTTTTGAGAGTGGGATTATAAACAGAGTAATACAAAGCATCAGGGAATGTTGACAACTAATATCTCATGAATGGCTAATACCATAATCTGTGTGCTGGGAACGCTCAGGCCTGAAATCTCCTTGCCAGGCCTGGAAGTAGAGGTTGGTTGGAAGCGCTTTTGATGCTTGGACATAAGTACGTGTAATTCCAGTAGAACAGGAGCACTGGAGTGGTGTGTTACCTTGTGGTTAAGGACGGGGACTAGGGATCCGGGAAAATGACCTGGTGCTGATTTGCTTTGCGAGTTTGGTCGTGTTGCTTAACTTTCCCCTGTTGCTAGTGAAGTAGCAGTGCTACTTTCATGTATCACACCAGAGTTCAGCATGAAATTCCAGCACTGTTAAAGCACTTCAGATCCTTAAATGGAAGATGGTAAAGAAATGCCAAAACACGCATTTAGTTGGTTTATAAACTTGGGGGCTAGAGCATCATTTTCTTCAGTGTTCTGTAAATTTAAAGTACCCACAGGTACCCACTGCCTTGGTGGTGTTCAAACCATCATGAGGTGCTCGAGGAGGAGGCGTTATTACATGGGAAGTTTACTTCTGCCAGGGGAAGGAGGGGTTTAATAGCAAAGAACGACTCTTCTAGCCCGATGGTTGTCAGCAGAGCGGTTGTATGTGGCCTGATCCATTTCCACTTGAAGTTGCTGGGAAGACTTGTACAGACTTCACTAGGAGCTGGATTTATCCTCAGGGATGAATCTTTCCCTGAAGATCTGTCCCAGTCTTAGGGTTCAAACTCCTGATCTCCAGCAGTTCATTCCACGTTTGTTATTGCTCTCAGCTTTTCAGGCTGCCTTGTTTCTCAGATGCTGCCATCCCTGTTACAAGAGCGGCAGAAAGGACCGGGTGCCCCTGCCAGCTCCCCTGGTTTGCAACCTCATGTGCCTCGAGGGACAGGGAGGTTTCCGTTTTTGGGCGGGTGGTGGCCTGCAGCGGCCGAGGAGCACACACTGAACTGTGAGGCCGGCACGGGGATGGGGCAGGCAGACGAGGGGTTAGTGTCTGACAGTAAGGGATCGCTGGAGACACCGCTCGTACTCTTTCCAGATGAGAATTATGTTGTAGTGGTGAGGAATCAGTAGAATCGTATCAGAAACATGCCAGTAAGAAATTTGGTCAATTCTTGCAATTTTATGTTGCTCCTAATGCCATCTATTTTCCTCGTTAACGCTATGAAAGTTTAATTCACCTGTCTCTGGGTAAATAAAGATACATGTAACATGTTCCCTGCTGCCCTCATGCAACCAGAATTACAATGATTAAAGAAGTAAAACAGCTCAGTTCTACTCGGTGCATCCTGTTGCATCGAGTATGAACACTGCTTGAAGACCTGCACTTCTAACCCCATTTTAACTGATTTCATTAGCTGTCAAGCTTATTTTTGGCCATTTTGGCTTCTCTTACCCACTCTTCCTTTATTTCTAGGTTATTTTTGTCTTTGTCCTCCTTTTTTCAGAGCAGCTGCTTCTCTCTGGGACATTGGGCCCAGCTATATTTTAATTGTTTAGGCATTTTTATCTATATCCCAGAGGTGGGGGGAGGTGGAAAATTATATGAAGAAATACTTACATATATTTATGTGGAAAAAACAAGCTGTGCTCCATAGTTGGCAAGGGCAATGTTCCCTGAGTGATAATAATGTTGTTTGAACAAATTCTTAGGTGGTCATTTCCCTTTTTCCTGGTAGCAGGCATGAGGTGGAAAGTAGGTGGGTTCCAGATCCACTTAACTTTTTCAAGAAGATTTGATTCTCTGTCCTTTTCTGACGCCTGGAGATGAGTTCCTGGAGGGATTAGAAAAGGCAGGAGAAAGGAAGCTGCAAATGGGACAAGAGCAAGCCGCGAGGGGTACAGCCGTGTGGCGGGACCTATTTTATTATCCAAGGGGCTTTTTGTATCGTAACGCCGGTAAAACAGCAGGTCCTTATTTCCGAGGTGGAGCTGTCGTGGCCTCCCTGTTGAAGCTGCTGCCAAGCAGGAACTGAAAGAGGTGTGATGTGTCTGCAGAGGCAGGCAGATTGACGTGAGCCGCGCTTTGTGCAGGACTCCGTAATCTTGTAGAGCTGTTGCGGGAAGAAGACCTCAAGTTAAACAAGAATCTTGCCCCAAATTGCTGGCTATTTTGATGATCTCATTGATGCTGCTGTTAGAGGATCTAAAGGCATTAATGCCCTGTTGGCTTATTCTGCATAAAAACAGTGTGTGTGGGAGAAAGCAGCTGGGCGAATAACGATATTTGTCACATGGAGAGAGGATTAAATTGGCAGGGAAATCAACTTTATTTTCAAGCATCTAAGAGGCTATTAGAGACAATGGAGCATAAAAGAGAGAAACCCTAAATTAAAAACTGAAAATGTATTTGGCAGCTTCCTCCTGAAACAAGCCACAGTAATTTAACCAAGTGCTTCAGTAATCAAATAGATCATTGTATGACTGCTCTGCAAGTGATGCCGGAGCTCCTTCCTCCATCTCGCTGGGACTCACAGTGGTGGGTTTGTCTGTGGCCATGCGAGTTGCATGGATGCTGTTGGAGGGGTAGGAAGTCACTGGCGTCGTTTAACCCTTGTAGTCATTCCAGGTTTAGCTCGGCAGCGTCGTGCTGATGAGGAGTGTTTACAAACCCCCTCTGCTGTGCTCTCTGCTGGGTGTTGTATCCGGAGGTTGGGGCTGTTTGTCTCTGGTAGCTGTGCTGCAGGCTGCTCAGCTGCCGGTCGCAGGCCTTCAAATTCCAACTTCTCCCGTGGTTTCAGTGATGGGACATTACATTTTTGGAGCAGCACTGACCGGTTTCAGCAGAGAACACTTGGACCTTCTGGGGTAATCAAGAACTCGCTGTGTGTTTTGGCACTTACAAGTCTGGAAGGATAAATTTTTAATCAGTGTGTTTTGGTAATTGTTTGTGGTTTCCCTTTACCAAAACCCCAGGGAAAAAGCCTGTTGCTAATCAGATTTTTTTTTTTTAGAGGGAAAATTAAAATAAATCTGCCAAGTGCTGCTTGTGTTAAATCTCCGTAGAGAAGCGCATGGTCTGCTCCTCGAGAGCTTTGCTTTCCAGGGGCCTTGTTCTGCACAGCATGGAGGACTGCTGGGGAGTTGGGAGCATTCATCTTCTTGGAGAAAGAGCTTGGGGATCTCCAGAGATCAGACCTGTGTTACAGGCAGAATGGCTTAAAAAATACAGCATGGCATGTGTTCAGAGTTGGCTGGGGTGCTACACCTAAACAACGTGTGAAGCCAAGAGTGGCGGTTGGCATCAGTTGTCTGTAAGTGCCCGGTGCTATTGCTGGGTAGTACGTCGTAGTTAAGGTATTAATATTCTGGAATACTTTTATTGCTCTGTTTATTATTCCTAACATTTTAATACTTGCTCCAAAGAAAGAATAAAAAATATATTGGGTAATGCAGAGGCTCATTACAAGAATGATAAAAAAAAAAACAAAACCCCATAGCTCTGCGGAACTTCATGCAATCAAATCTTTTTAGCCACAGTGTGTGGCACTCGCAGGTCTTCAAGGACTCCCGTTACTCCCCTGCCTGTGCCTCTGGCTTAGGCAGGTGACTCTCTGTTGGCCGGCAAGGCCAGGGGACGCAGTGGGTGACGCAGGGTGGGACCTCAGGGTGGCCCAGCTTGGCCCTGGGTCCTGGCTGCCCTTCCCAGCCATCGGAGCGAGCAGCCACGTTTGCAGCG